AAAGAGTTGCAATAGGCAGGAAGGGATGCAGAAATCCTTCCATCTGTCAAGGTTGAAGGTTGATTTGTATCTGTATAGTAGTGTCTTAAAAGAAGAGCTTTAAGGGATTTTCAGGATCTTGGAATTACTGGATTCTCTCTAACATAACAGCCTGTGTCTTGGTCTCGGTCTCCCCCACAGTCTTTATGTATTATCTGACTATCCATTGAAGTCAATGGAAAGATTCCATTTTGCTCTGATGAAACCTAAAAAGAAAGCCATTCCTTTGCTCACATATAATATATTTTTTCTCAGTTCCTATTTCTCAGTCTGCTTTGGGTTACACTTATTTGTTCTTCTGTCTCCCTTCAGTTCTTTGGTTCTGATGGTGGCACTTTCTTTAAGGGACTAGACATTAGTATCCTCAACTACTTTTATATTTTTAGAGTGATTATGCTAAAAAAACACAGGAGCTGCTCTAAAAAAATAAAACCTTATATTTTATTCTAAATATTACTATCTTCATGACATAGATTAGAATTCCAGTCCAATCTGTCATTATTGGATAATTCTGGCATTATTTTTTTACACCAAAATCTTAAATTTCTTTTTGAAGACTAGAGAAAAAAAATTAATACTGTAGCTTTACGAAATGTTATGAGTCAGCTGAGCTGTGGATATTGACCATAGACACACTTTTAGCCCCTTGCAAATGCTAGAAATCCGTGTTAGCTTAATCGAATTTTAAGCTAGCATACTTTCCTTTGAATTTCTGGCAGGCTAAGAGCGAGCACGTGGTCAGTTACACTGGTCTGGTACCATACAGTAATTCATTCAGCCATAGCTCAACTGTTTCTTCAAGCCATGAAACAGGTCTCCTGAAGAAAGTTGACTGAATAGTACAAAGCCCAGATGACTTGCTAAATTTATATATTATAATTCAAAATTTTGAAAATTTTCAGAGGTTTTGTAAGAAGTAATGGTGCCTAGGATACAGAACAGGTTTGATGTCCCAGGCACATCCCAAACCTAACTGGAGTGATAAATTTAGGTTATGCACATGTAAGTAAGTAATTTGGGACTTTATCTAGTATCACTTACTCTCTATGGCAGATTTAAGGGGAAAAATTACTTTTGGAAAATGCCCCTTCCTTAATTCAGTTTTTAATTACTTTGATTATGTTTATTAAATGCCTATAGCAGTTTCTAACTACTGTGTTTCAAACAAAAAAATTCAGATATTCCATGAGGCACATAAAATGCTGTAAGATTGAGAAAGCAAAGTACAGAAAACGGAATTTTTCTACAGTTGCACTGGGCTAGAATCATCGGGAGTCATGAGGGATGGAAAAACTGTTGTTAGATTATCCATTGCAGTGCAATCAAATCATGCTGTCTCATTCCTAGGGATGTAACAGGATGAAAATGTTTGAAGCCTTCTGGGCTCAGTTTGATGCTGCGTGAAGCCTAAAGAAATCATCAGGGACTAGCAGTTCTGTGCTAGGCAACTTGCTTAAATGAGCTTCTTATTCCTGTCTAACTCTTTCTTCGTTCTGGATCTCTGCCATGCCCTTCCTTTGTTGGGATTTTTGGGTTTTTTTTTTTAAATGCATTGGCGATTCAGAGGTGTAGTGCAAGAGTTACCTTCATTCATAGATGTGCAAGATCGTGACGAAAAGGCTCAGGGTGACTCTTATCGTGCTGTCAATTTGACAGAAGGGCCTCCTTCCACCTCCCTCTGGCTCATACCGCTGTGAAAACGAAAATCAGCAAATCCACAAGCACTTTGGGAAATGTTGCCTGTATTCTGGTTTCCTTTTCTGTAAAAGTAGAACAGTGCCTTCCACATCTCATGGGATTGCAGGAACTAATGCAGTAATCTCTGTCAGGTGCTTTGGGAACCCTTTATGGGAAGCACAGACCAAGTTCAACACAAGGACCATTATAATTCCCCTGACAATGTTTGGTAATATACTAAGTACTCTTAGTTACAGTGGTACTTATGTGGCTGAATCCCAATGCACTGTTATAATTTACTACCTTGTCTATATATAGCTGCATTTTTAATTGGATAATCAAAATTATGTTATTTCAGAGAAACAGTTATATTTCCTTTTTGTAACTACATTTATGCAGGCTGTTATAAACTAAATAGTACAACAGACTGAGTAATCAACAGTAATAAGTTTTTATTTTAATTTGAAAATAGCCAAGAATTAAGTAAAAGAAATGGTTACAAAAACAAAATAGAAGCAGAAAAGTATATATGCAAACACACACCAGTTTCACACCATGATAAAGTCTGGAAGTGACATTTGGACCCTTAAATCTGTCTTTGACTTTAACGTAGCAGGATTGTGCCTGGGATGAAGAATACTTTATTGGTTGTTAGTTTAATGCTACATTCATTTTAAACATCATGTGGAGCTCTGTTGAAATTAGGATGTAATAAAATTATCTAAGCATCTTCCACTATAGGAAATTTAGAGCATTTAGATTATGAGATTGCTGATGCTAATGCCTTGCAACAAATTGCATTCTGTACTGAAGATATCATGACATAACACTTATTAGTTGAATAAAATTAGAGATACGGGTATTGATCTGTTTCATGACCATATCCAAGCATTGAGTTTTCACCAGCAGTGGGAATATGATTTAGGAGAGTTTTGTCATATGCTTAGAAACCCCTCAAAGGGCTGTTGGCTACCGTGTTATTGCTACAGGCTGGTCTCCAGTGGCTACCGTGATATTGCTACAGGCTGGTCTCCAGTGTCCAGTTCTGTTGTTATATATAACAAGTACATATTCTCCAGCTTCCATTCCGGTTGAAGCCTTCAACTTCCTTGTATGGGGCACCTGTGCCCCTAAAATTATTTAGATTCTTTAGAGCACATTTGCAGAAAGACTGTGCTAAGTGGGTTGTATAAACACTTACGCATCTGTCTGATCCTCTAAAGGATTGTCTTGCATCCTATATCTTTGTCTGCTTTTGAAATGTTGCTTAAATAAGCTGAAATTGAAGAGGGAAAGTGAATGTGAAAATCAAATTGAAGCATTTCTGGATTTTTTAATTTTCTGCTAGTAGCATTTGACAGCTGCAAGAAATTACATGAGAGAAAAAAATTTCAAAGGCTTGAGTATCAAAATCTTTGCTTACAAGCTACTCTTATTTAGTAATCATGCTTGTTTAATAACCACAACTTGGAGCACATGATCCATAGGAACAAATAATCAAGTCTATAAAAACCCATCACTTGTACCTAAAGATATTTGTTTTATCAGGAACAACAGAGAGTGATTAAATAAATATTTTGTAATTTGTACATAAAAAGGGAAAAACTGCCTAATAGGGGAGACTTTATATGTATGGGAATAGCAATAATACTTCTGGACTAAGGAAAAGAGATGTTCAAATAGTATGAAATGCTTATTCATAAACTGTTTAGTGATATAAAAATTAAGCTTCATCTCTGCATGTTCATATTCTTTTTCTCTTTGCTGTTTATTACTTATGTTTATGAAGAGTGAACTTGGGATCCTGAAGCTGAGATTAATTTCAGAAAAATTCAGTTCAGCTTGTGATACGAAAATGGTTCCATGGAGAAAGGATACATTTACATTAAGGATATCCAGCTGAGAGATCACAGAAATAGAAACTAGACCCATGTAACTTAAATGACTAGCCACAAAGCTTGACATATGAATTCTAAATATCAAATAATGTACTGAATATACAAATATATCCATTAAATCTATTCAAACAAATTTGCATAATTAATAGCTTCATAAAATTTAGAACTGCTAGTAGACAATTTTGCAAACAGGAAGGAGGCTGCATTCACCCCATAATTTGCTCACAGCGAGCAATTTTAACCAGTTCTAAAGCGGTGGATGAAATTCCATGAATGGTGAGACTTTCCATCAAGCTGATAGAGAAAAAATGTTTAGTTTTGCAATACACTTGGATTTTGCAAGTTATTTTTTTAATCAGACACATAACAGCAGTTTTATGTGTTCTCCTGACAGACCAGCAGTACTCATGGTCGCCTTCTCAGCACTTCAATGAAGAAAGATACTCTCCTGCTCCGAGGAATATGAAAGGATTATCTGGTAGTCGCAACCAACCACAGTTATGTTCAGCTCATACTTGTGGCTTAGCAACCCCTGAAGATTGTGAACACACCCACGACCATATCCACCATGGGCAGGAGCCAAGGCAATCGTATCTTCTCAGCCCCACGGAGAGTTGCCCGATGGACCACCATCGTTGCTCGCCACGCAGCTCCATTCATTCTGAGTGCATGATGATGCCCATGGTAATGGGCGATCACATGTCAAGTAGCACTTTCCCCAGAATGCACTACAGCTCACATTACGACTCAAGAGACGACTGCGCCATGTCTCACGGTAACCCTAAGATTAACCGTATTCCTGCAAATCTTTTGGACCAATTTGAGAAACAACTCCCCCTTCACCGGGATGGGTTTCACACTTTACAGTACCAGAGGACCTCAACGGCTGCGGAACAGCGCAGTGAGAGCCCAGGAAGAATACGCCACCTCGTTCATTCAGTCCAGAAACTTTTTACTAAATCTCATTCTCTGGAAGGATCATCCAAGGGCAACGTTAATGGAACAAAGGGAGACAGTCGAGGGGATGACCATCATCACGGGCACCATTCCAAGCATAGCAAAAGGAGTAAAAGTAAGGAGCGAAAACCAGAAAGCAAGCATAAATCTGGAATGAGCAGCTGGTGGAGCTCTGATGATAACTTGGACAGCGATAGCACTTACCGAACCCCTAGCGTGGTAAATAGGCACCATGCAGATCATATATCCCATTGCTATCCTGAGGCGCTCCAGGGGCATTTTGGGGATCTCTCACTGAAGACTTCCAAAAGTAACAATGATGTGAAGTGTTCAGCTTGTGAAGGGCTAGCAATGACACCAGATGGTAAATATATGAAAAGGAGTTCTTGGTCCACGCTTACAGTGAGTCAGGCTAAAGAGGCTTATCGCAAATCATCACTGAACTTAGATAAGCCCCTGGTTCATCAGGAAATCAAACCTTCCTTGAGGCCATGCCATTACCTTCAGGTAAGAGGAAGATTTTCTTAAGATATGTAATGAAAAAAGCATCACAGTTTATACCATAGTCATCGTAAACAATACAAGGGTAATCTATGTATCTCTCGAAGAATATCTGTATGGATCACCTAATGTAGATATTCCATGAAAGTGAGAAAACTCTAGCTTTTGTCTTTGTTTATAGATTAAAAACTATAAAACTGGTGTGATATAAATTAGTAGAATCAGTAGGTGTGTTTTCATCTTTGGAGTTCACACTGAACATCTTGATAAAATCCATATATCAGACTAAAAAAGTGACAGTTCTCCCAGCAGCCTGGGAGCTAGAAAAAGTGTTTCAAATGCATCTGTGAATGAGAGATTTTAAAGACAGGCTGCATGGAATCCCATTTTTGCATTCTTTTACTCTTTTTCTCTGGGTTGTTGGAAGTAACAGGAGAATGGATTTATTAGTGTGCTCAATTGCTTTGTCGTGATGATGATTAGTTACAAACTTCCTTTTAGTGATTGGGTCACCCAAGTTCATATTGAACTGAGCCTCTTTTGAGACCATACTATAAGCTATCCTTATTAAAAGTTACATGGGTACCTCAGGGAGATAAATATTTCAGACCTGGCACTCAGACTGTTTGTGACAGTGGTCCGCACACTTGTTTCCTCTAACAGCAACCAAGAAGCTCCCACTTTCTCCTACATTTAAACTCATACTCGTTGCTTGCTGTCATTTGCCACCCCAAAATCATGCTAATGTAGCCATTAATGATGCTGCACGATGATCTGGATCCTAAAGTGATATGGGTTTTAAAAATAGCTTAAAACACTTTTTTTTTAGACATTTACATCATTTACATGGCCTAGGCCCAGCACAGTGCCTTGACAAGTGACATTAGCACGTCAGGGTGGACAGAGAACTGCAGCGGGAGCAGAGCAGAAAGGAGAAAGTAGCTCGGAGGATAACTTCTGCAGCTAGCTTTGCCACTGGAAAAAACGTAGTATCCAAATATTCCCTTAGGTACTTTTACCAAGTACATTCTGCAAAGCCTGCTTTGTTCCGAGTACCTCCTCTTTTATTTCTTTTAAGGAGCTTCTCTTCCTCCAGAACTTAACCGATTCTCACATTAACATGGGCCAATCTCCACTCCAGGTGTGTGTATTTAGAGATTTTCTGTTCCTGTGGGCTCTGCAGAAGCCAGCAAACACAGACTAGCAACAGCCCTTGTGCTTCTCCCCTGCGAGCAATGGGGGTCCAGCAGTAATGAGTCACACTTGGAGAGCCAGATCTTTCTGAATGCATGTGCAGACCATCCAGGATCAATCTTCCCCACTGAAACAGGGAAAGTTCCTCATTGCAGAGGAAGGAAAATAAAGAAATTGCAACCCTCATAGCACTGCCATGCAAACTGATTCCAATTTAGACTGGCAGCTGTGATATTTTATCGTATCCAAGTACAGTTCTGATGTATGTAAAGCAGCCTGCACTTCCCTGGAAGTTTTTAATCTAACTCGACGAGCCAGAACTGGAAGCGCATCCCATGCAGAGACCTCCACTTGTGCCTGTGTTCTAAAACCATGTGTACAGCTCTGGCATTACAGAGGAGTTTAGGTATGGCTGGCTTTTTTCTTACCATGACATACTCCTACTTCTGCACAGACAGGTCTGGTTGCTCTACACCTCTGCTGGCTTTTGTGCTTTCCTTCTCATCATGTTTCATTGTTTTTTCTTCCCCGTTCTTTACGTCTCATTTTTCTTTGCAGAAGCCACCAGTTTTTGCTTTCCATGGGCCTTCTTACTCCCAGCTTATATCAGCACCCTCAAGTGCATGTGAAACACTGAGTTCATAAACCAACTTTGTTATCACCAGGCTTGATCTAAGATCAAGCCCAGCGGCAAACCCAGCGAGCAGGAAAGCACACGGTTTGCAGAGTCATTGTTTTATGCTTTTTTGTGAATTGGGATGACTACAGGAAGGAATTTTCATCCAGTAATTAGGAAGGTTCATCCACTGGTAGGTTCATCCAGCTTAAAGTCTAGGAGATGTGAATTTAAATTTTTGCTGCACTTCGTTTTTAAGCCCCTTTAAAAATGAGATAGTAGCTATTCCATGTTCACAAGGATCCTATGATGGAAATTTGTTAAGACTCAAGTGCTCAGTTACTACCATAAAGAATCTATAGTTGTGTTGAAAGCAATAATACCAGGAATTCTATAACAGGAATATTCTCATTACACAATATTAAAATAAAATACATGTTCTGTAGAATCTGGATATGCCATTCAGAGCACAGATATCCTTCAGACTGAGTGGCTGGTTTATTCACTAGCCCAAGGTCAGCAAACCAACTGAAGGGACCCCGTTCTGTCAGTGTCATACTAAATGCTTCGTTTTGAAACTTCTACTTTGAGGGATGCTGTGCTGTCACACTGTAATCCTTAAGACCAGAGATATAAGTCCCATTATTAGGTCTGCAACGAACTTTCTCTCTGACCCAGGAAATGTAATTTGTTAATCACTGCACACTTCAATTACTCTATCTGCAAAACTGAGGAGAGATATTTAACTTCTGCTTCTTACAAGCATCACTAAATAATGATTGGATAAAAACAATCATTAGGTTCAGAAATTGAGAAAGGTAGAGAAACACGTCAGGATCCCTAGCCAGGAGAGTTTATTGCCTTGCTCCAGAATATCTGGCAATGAGAATTCAAAGGATTATGAAGTTGATTATGCAGCAGCAGATTTCCCTGAGGTGCAAAAGTGAACAGATTAGTGTAAAACCCCAGGCCCTTCACGGGATCTCTGTGTTTATAGCGTTACAACAAATTATATTGAAAGACATTTCTCCTGAATGATGTCAGCTATATATTTTTAAATTCTTTTTAAAGCAAAGCCATGAAATTATAGTCCTTCAGGATCTTATATATAAATACCTAAACATGCCCCAGAATAATAAAAAATAATTTTCTATGTTTATATTTTAATATTATACATTTATAATGAATATATGGCTTTTACTCCACTACCTAGTTATATGAGGATTCACTGTACCCAACCCACTTTTCTATCTACTATTCTCCTTCTTGTTATTTTTTCTTTTGACACCTGTATAAAATATTGCTACTTCTGTTTTCCACTGGAGAGTTTTGGTATACAGCATCCCAAACTGGAAGACCATGGCAGTGTCTTGGGCCTGTGCTTGAGACCATGGTTTCTGTTTTGTGTTTCTGGGCTTCCATTTTGTCTTCCCCAGTAATTACTTAGAGGGAGCTTCTACGAAATTCAAAAATACCTGAAAGCAGGAGATGAGAAAAGAGGATTTGAAGGCGTCTGCACATTGTATGCTTAAGACATGTCCTGGAGTTGAAAGCAGATATTTCTTTAACCTGGTAAATCTCCATGCTTAGTCTCTAGCTCCTCTCTTAGGGTTTCACACTCCCTGCTCCTCCACAGACAGTCCTTGCAGCCGGAGGATCTCCTTGGATGGGGAATGTGCTGTTGAAAGTTAGAGGTGATTCAGTCAACGTCCATTGTTCCAGCATGGGTGGTCATACAGCCCTAAAGTGGACAGTTTCAGAGAACTAAATCAGGAGAAATAAAGCTCTATATAATAGTGATTATTTTTCTCATCTAAAGCTCGGATCAGATTTGCATCACTCCTGCTACAGTGGAGGTGGTGGGAACATGCAGAGAGAAGGGAAGAGTGAGAAGCCCCTTTGGGCTCCAGCTCGTTGTTAAATCAGCTTAGCTGTAAAGTGAACCAAATGGTCAACTAGCACCGCGCGAGCAGAGAGCAGCCGTTTGTAGCTGTACGCTAATAGCATTTATCAGATGCTTGTGAATGATTAGCAACAGTTTTTACCCAAACAGTTGGAAGAATTTCAGTGACTGCAAGCGCTAGCTGTGGGCAAGCAGAGATCAGATATGTGTGAAACCTGGTTCTTTACACGATGCCAATGTACCTCATGGGTTATTTAAAGCTCCAGTCCGTCTGTATCTGGATACTGAGCATCACAAGAGCTTGTAGGGACTGTTCCTTGCCTCCATTCCCCTCCCAAAATACAGTTAGACTACTTATAGCCCAGATTTCTAAAGAATCAAAACCAGTATGTTTACTCATTATGACCTGCTATAGTCTTCATAGAAAATGTTAGCAAATGCGTCTTAAACATTGAGAATATTTGTTCAGTAGGTTATACTCAAAGGATATGGTTGGATGGGACCTTGAGCAATCTGGTCTAGTGGAAGGTGTCCCTGCCCATGAAAGGGGGGTTGGAACTAGATGATCTTTAAGGTCGCTTCCAACACAAACCATTCTATGATTCTATGTACGGGTCTTTAATTTCTGTTTTGAATGCAGACAAATTGAGCTACAAATGCATTTCTGGGCACCAAACACTTGTCATCTCACTCACCAGGCAGAATAGCCAAGTAAATCACACACGCAGTAAAGTGCACTTTTGTATAGTTTTAGCTATAGTGGCTGCTACTGTTTTCCATGTCATTTTAATTTTAATGTGAAATATGTTGAGAAAAAGACGAATGAGTTGTGAGATCTCTTCTGTCTTCATCAGCTGTTTTGGTTAATTGGATTCAACACGTATACAGTGCAATGACTTTGATTAATTTCACTCTGATGAGTATTAGTGAGAAGGAAAGATTTTCAACAGAAAAAAAAGGGCATGAACTAGATAGCTGTCCTAGAGTGACGAATACAAAAGTGTCACTTTACAGTTTCCAGGACTGAAATACCTTTGAATGCTAGTTAAAGAAAAGTAGTTCCTGCAATAAATCCAAAAGACAGGCAAGACCATAGCACTCACCATTACTGAAGTTCTGGAGCACAGTGCTATGTGTCACTGATTAATATTCCTCCCTCAGCCATTCAACAGCCTGTGAAGCAGCAAGCAATCAAGGTAAACATACCACAAGGAACAGTGAATGAGTCAGCACTAAAAAAGAAAATAGCATGTTGTTCTAAAAATGGCTTCAGCCCACTCCTGTCTTCCTAGT